AAGCTTTGTTCAGTGGATATCTGCTCACTATTCAAGTCCATACTAAAGAAGCAATAAAGCTGTACAATTAACAAAATGCAACCCCTGTGTGGTCTGACTCCTTTTTCCTTCTTATCAGCTCAGACTTTGTTTTGATGAATCAGGAAGAACAGAGAGAGTTTTCTATAAGATAACAATGATTTCAGTGAAGCAACTTTAGCAGAGTAGAGGGTGAGTGACGTCTGCTCGTGCCTTTAGTCCATGGATACAGCACAGTGTGTGCAGCGTGTGCACAGAAAACAGATCAGTGCAGAAGAGCAGTTCAGTCCTGTGCTTCTGATGACACGACACAGACACACTGCACTGCAAACATCTTTACTAGGACAGGTTTAACAATGCAGATCTACATGCACTTTAAGCACTAACAATGCACAGCAGTGTGAACGTATATAGAAGCTGAACGGTGAACAATGCAGTGAGAAAGGCTCTTCTTTCACTTCAATTCCTCCCTCGTCACACACTCTGTTTGCAGGCCCGGCCCTGGAAACACACCATGTCACAGTCTGTGCTCAGAAAGGTCAGGGGTGAATCTCACGGTGATGTGAGGAAGTGTCTACATTTGCATGCAGTGCACAATCACACCAGCTTTAGACTTTAGGTCTGCCCGTGTGAGACATCAGTGCAGTTGCTTCTCTATTCAGCAAAGCAGAGACGAACAGCCCGAACCTAAAACACACTAACTACTGCTTTCACTAACTGTTATGTGATAAATTAGCAGGTGTGAAGAAACGTAGCAGTGAAAGACTCTAACAAAAGAAACTAAACAGGTGAAGTTAACCTGAACGCATACCAAGTCCTCCTTTCTGTTCTGACAGAGTTCGTGTGGTAAACACAATGACTGCAAGAGCAGCGAAGCTCAGGGTTCATCATACTGTGGTACCTGCTGGAGGGCCTGAAGGTCCTCCAAGGTCTGCAGAGCAGTCAGTCTCAGGCTTGGCTGCATGCTGGCAGCGAGCCCGCTGACGCGAGCACAGAGGTCTGGATCCAGGAGCGAGGAGCCCAACAGGAGCAACACGTCGTCCTCTAACAACATGGACTGCAGGAGACGCAGGGAGTGGAGACACACCTCCCAGTGTCCGTCTACAGACACACAAATTAGATCCTGGGATACCCAGTCTGTGACACTGACAGTTTATTAAATTAACTATATCAGTGTCATTGAAGGTTAGACTTGAGACGGCTTGTAGGCTCGAGCTAGAGCACAGTGTCTGTGAGTGTCTGTGAGTGATGTTGTTGTTGGAGCGTGCAGCAGCTTACCATCAAGCAGGTTCCAGATGAGAGGGAGGATTCCTTGGTTCTCACTCAGGTACTTCAGTCCTTTGAGACTGATGCTCACGTTATAGAGCGCCATCAGCATCAACCTGCAGCAAAGCATCACCGTAGTGAAACACTGACATCTAGTGGCCACAACATATCAACACATTCAGTTCCCTTTTAAGAGCTTTTAAAAAAGAAGTTTAATAAAATTCCAGTCAGTGAGGGGTGGTTGGTCAGCACTGTGAAACTCCTTGATGTTCGTCAAGTTTGTGGGTTTCATTGTGGTCGTATGAGCTCTGCACACTGTTGCAATGACAGGTATTTACTTTAGTAGGCCCCATTTTACTAACACACATACCACACAAACATTACAAACTCTTGGTCACTATAATAATAATAATAACAATAATAATAACTCTATTTATAAAGCGCTTTCAAACAAAGTGCTGTACAGTAATTTGAAACTAAAAAGATAAATAAATAAAAATGATAAATAGCAGTACAAGTTAAAAACAGTAAGCATTTAAAAACTAAAAGCCAGAATTAAGACATGTAGGATGGGGAGAACAAATGTGTTCAACACATGGAGCAC